CAAAAGTATGAAACCATAATCTTGATAAGAATGGTGTGGAGGGCAGGTATTAAAATACTATGTGATGTACCAGAGTCTCTTATGGGCACATGGTTTGTAATTTGCAAGTACGTACACCAAATCCAATATTTGTTGAACACAAATTTTGGTTTTCAGGCAGAAACTACCTTTTCAAAATCAGAAATTTCTTCTTCCAACATAACTCATATGTGCCCCATGACCAGTAACCACCCCCTATCGTGGCAAAAAGCAAATGAAAATAAAATCACTGCTGGACACAGAATATAGAAAGCATTTTCTGTTTTATGTGTATTTTCAATCCAGAGAAAATAAGAATAGGTCCCTTATTTTGTGCAGCAGTTTCTAAAATATAATCAAGGAGATGCTAGTAAATACTTAACTTTTAGATTAGCTTTCTCAAAACTTTTAAACACTGGAATTCAGATTTGCTTACACTCTGAAGCTGGTCCTCAGTATCTTTTTAAAGCCTCTCTTGGCATCTCATTTTCATGCTCCATCTGAGATGACTTGGGAAAAAAAATCAGAAAATAACAACACCATTTCCACAAAACAACTGCTTGGGCAGTGCAAATTTTTACATCCATCATTGATGGAACTCTATTTCTGAGAGAAATTTTAAATGTCAATACTAAAAAGTGATATTATTGGAGTTGGCTGTTTTAGTCAACACTAAAAGTGAGCACCTACTCAGAAACAGCTTAAAAAATAATTGGAATAAGAAACATTCCTCCTTTAAAACTGTTATAAAAGAACATAATTTTATCCTTGTAGAATTATCAGCTTTGTGTAATGTGTAGCTTAAAGCCCTGTGTAAAATGACATCATGTGATGTGTCATAGTTAACATAGGCCAAAGATAAGGCAAGTCAGGAGAATTCTTCTGAAATCCTCCCTCCTTCATTATGCAAATGACACTAAGAAGTAGTTAGCTAATCCTGAATTAGCTAATTGCCGAAAGATTTAAGAAATGAATCTCATCTACAGAGATCAATTCCTGAAATCATTGAAGTTTCAAATTTTTTCATTCATAAAAATTATGAAGCTTTTGGTCTTGATAATTACCCCTTTAGGCGACTAAACAGGAGAGAACTCCCCCACACATATACATCATATTGTTTATGAAAGGATTAGCGGTGTCCATTAAATCCTTCAGACTTCCATGAGTGATTGTAATGCACACATTAAAAAATGATTTTGGAAAAGGGACACCCGGCTGGCTTGGTCAGTATAGGATGTGACTCTCAGTCATGGGGTTCCGAGTTTGAGCCCCACATTAGGGGTAGAGGTCACTTTAAAAAAAATGTTTCTGAAGAATTTCAAGTGATCTTAAAATATAATTATGGTATTCCGTTATTTTTGCAAGTGTTGATTTTTTATATCATGTTATATGTATATATAGTTAGTGAATATTATAGAAGTGCACATAAATATATTTCCATATGTATACTCTTTTAGTTATATATATATTTTTGTTTATAGCAATTTATATGTAAATGCTGACTATAACTGAAAGTATACTGAAAAGATAAAAGAAGTTATCTATAATATCCACATCAGGCCATCACTTATTTAATATTAGAACTGATGTTGGAAAAATACCTATATTTTAAGGTAGTCGTTCATGTGCCAGTTCAATCAAAATTGACTAATTTTAAATATTGCCTGACAATACAGAATATTGCAGGGGTCTCCTATGAGGTATTGTCATGTAATGAACTGCTCTAAAAATTCTAATCCTCTCACGAGTTTTACATTAATCAACTTCATTTTCAGTTCAAAATGTTAACGTATTTTCACATGTTTCTTCTGAAGCTTCAATCTCTACAAAACTTCATTTTAGATTAGAAGAAAAAGGTAAAAGAGTAAGGAGTAACAGCAACTGAATTTAATTTCGATCTTGGATAGAGAACACATTTGCTTTTCTATTCTTATGTCTGTTCGAAAAGAAAACAGTTCTGATTTTAGCCAAATGAGGATTTTTTTGTAATTCTGCTTGGATCACATTGTAAAAACCTTCTTCAAATTTTCACTTGTTTCCCACAATATTACCACATATTCTCAAAGCCATTGGCAAAATGGATGCAGTTTATAAAGTCTTTACTTTTGCATTGAGCTTTTGCCTGTCTCATATCTTTAGATAAATTTTAAAGCAAGAGCAATACCCGCTGTGTTGAATACTTAAATTGTATGGGTGAAATATGTAATTTGAAATTCGGAAGTTCGAAGTACATTTATCTACAGCTTGATTTTACACTTGAAACTTCCTGTGCTTCATGAGAGTTTGTTAAAAAAAAAAAAAGAAGAAAGAAAGAAAAGGAAAAAAAAAGAAAAATAGGGGGAAAATCTTCTTCATCATTTATAGCAATTTTCTTTAGACTTGAGTAAAATGTGCGGAAACGTGAAAGAAAAATCAAAATCGTGTGCCCTCTTTTTGTTCTCTTATTCTTTTTACTATAACACTGACCCAGGAATCAATTCTTTCTTATGCTCTTATACAAATATACTTTCAGAGAAAATTTTGAAGTAAATCCAAATTCACAAAATGAACACATTCATTTTAATAACATTGATTTGAAGGATGATGTTATTTTACTGAAGTTAGAACAGAACATTGAGTTTAAGAACAAAGATACAGCCATTGTTCAGTTTGGTGTTTTGTGTTTTGATTTTACTAATACTGATACACAGAGAGCCTATTTTCAAAAGGATATTTATATAATTTAAAATATTTCAAAGCTTTTTTGTGTGGGTTGAAATATTAAAAAAAAATACAGAATACATTCTTATTGAAAATTTTGCAAGAATGCTGTGCTTGTATACAAATTTTGAAGCATAGCCCAGATGACTATGGACACTAAAAGCTTAACCTTTTTTCTTTGGCTGGTCTGTTGGCTGGAAGGACCTTTTAAATGGAAAAATGTGGACCCTGATATCAGATGACCCTACCCAAATAAGTAGGAATAGGTTAAAACATTTTAGATCAGCATCTGAATAAAAAATAGTATTTATAAAACTATACATGCTATATAATTTAAATAGTGTGTATTTATATTATTTATAAAATATATATTTATGAGTACACATATTCTTAGAGAACTATAAATAATGTAATATTTATATCATATAAATACATTATTGGATACTTCATGGATTTCGAAGACAGTGTTCATCTTCTATTAATTCTTGGACTCCAGGGGTACCTGGGTGGCTCAGTTGGTTAAGTGTCTACCTTTGGCTCAGGTCATGATCCTGGGGTCCTGGGATCAAGCCCTGTGTCAGGCTCATTGCTCAGCAGGGGTCCTGCTTCTACCTCTCCATCTGCTGCTCCCCCTGCTTGTTCTCTTTCTCTCTGTCAAATAAATAAGTAAAATCTTTAAAAAATATTAATTCTTGGACTCCAGTTTGAAAAACATTGCCCCACAGAATCACAAAGATAATTTTTCTTCTGTTTGGTCCTCTCCCCTGTGTTATTTATGTGTATCTTATTACATGCTATACTAAAGTGAATTATAAATGTGTTGACAAAATTAGAAGTTTGAAACTTTTCTATATTATAAGATTTCAGATATATAGAATGAATTAGAGCAAGGCATTTTTCTGTGAATCTGAAAGGATAATCAGTGATTCTATCCAACATTTGGCTGAGTAATATTGAATAACTCATTGAAAGACAGTCTGTTAAAATGAAATACTCCACTACACATATCTGAAACCATCTGGTTTGCCAAATCTCTCCTCTCCTTTCAAACAAAAAAGCTTAATGTTTTCTGAGTTCTTCTACCTTCTCTCTGACTGCATGCAGGTCATTGATTTTTTAATTTAGGATATTCAGGAGGGTTTCTGATTTGGCATTGATGGGCTCATTTATATTTATTACAACAATTACTTAAAATGAAATGAGCATACTTAAGATTAATGCATTTCATTTTATGAAAATTTTATCCCCAAAAGTGTGTAAAAGAAATAAATTCAGATAACAAATTAGTTGTATTTATGCATGTTCATGTATTTGAAAGCAGTACTTAGACAATCTCTGTAATGCATTGAGAAATAAAATGGATTGACAGAAGGACGAATGGAAGGGTAGATGTGTGACCAATAATGAGATGAGTCAAATACAGTTGATCCTTGAACAACTTGGTTTTAAACTTCATGGAGGTTAAAACTCGCTTACATGCATTTTTGTCATAAATACATAAACTTATGGTATCAATAAATACAGTACAATTACTGTAAATATATTTTCTCTTCCTTATTTTTCCTTAATAACATTTTATTTTATCTAGCTCATTTTATTGTAAGAATACAGGGAAACCTGGGTGACTCAGTCGATTTCAGCTTAGGTCACAATCTCGGGGTCATGAGCTTGAGCCCTGCCTTGAGCTCCCCACTCAACATGGAGTCAGCTTGGGATTCTCTTCCTTTCCGTCCACTCCTTCCCTTTCCCTTGCTCATGCTCATTCTCTTTCTCTAAAATAAAGAGATAAATAAAATCTTTTTAAAAAGAATGCAGGATATAATACAAATAACATACAAAATGTGTGTTGACTTATTGTTTACACTATTGGTAAGGCTTCCACTCAATAGTTATTTGTGGTTAAGTCTTGTTGGAGATAAAAGTTATACACAGATTTTCAACTGCACAGAGGTCGACAACCCTAATCCCTGCATTGTTCAATGTCAAGTAAATTAAAAGGTAAATGGTGGAATATCTGGGATGTATATGTATATATAAATGTTTATTATGCTTTTTTTCTACTTTTCGTATGTCTTTAAAATATTTATAATCAAAGATTTGTAAAAAAAAAAAAAAGAAAGAAAAAAAGTAAAAGAAAAAGAAGAAAGGAAAACAATGAAAAAAGAACCATAAGATTTTTATTTCAACTTTTCTGATAAAAAATTATACTGCAAGTATTTTTATTATGGAACCATCCCTTTGACAGTGTTCTCTCTCTGTCTCTTTCTCTCTCCCCCTAAAAGCTCCATTCTGACTTAGATAAAGGAGAGGGCACTGTTAAATACACCCTCTCGGGAGATGGCGCTGGCACAGTTTTTACCATTGATGAAACTACAGGGGACATCCATGCGATCAGGAGCCTGGACAGAGAAGAAAAACCTTTCTACACACTCCGTGCTCAGGCTGTGGACATAGAAACCAGGAAGCCCCTGGAGCCTGAATCAGAATTCATCATCAAAGTACAGGATATTAATGATAATGAGCCAAAGTTTTTGGATGGACCCTACGTTGCTAGTGTCCCAGAAATGTCTCCTGTGGGTGAGTAGGCAAATTAAAATTTTGTCAGATGCACTGAAGCCTTTTCAACATTTTATTTTTTGCAGGTCGATGTAAACATCTTATTTGTAAACCAGAAGATTATTATTCTACTATAAGACACAATTATTTTCATTTATGTTTTCGTTGTTGTCTTTTCTGCTCCATACTAAATATACAAATAGATACATAAGTATCTAGGATATATAACATTTGTCACTACTTTTCAATCTTTGCATTTACCTGAACCCACAGAATTCCTTTGTAATTAAGTATGAAGCTCAATTTTTACTAAAATCCATTGTCTTTACAATTCCAGGTGCTAAAGGTAACTACCATACCCACAAATACCAGGTAGTAATTCTTGGCTCAAAGTAAATCACCCAAAATACGTATCACTTATGAGTCTAGAAATGGTCCAGAAAGGAATGTGTTGTATCCTTTATAGCTACAGATACAGATTCCAGAAGGATGATATTGTTTTCTTTTTTATTACAAGTAACCCTTAGTAGTTATGCCATCAAAATAGGAAGCAAATATTATTGTGAACACATTATTAGAATAAATTTACAATTAGCTATAATATCACTGCCACTGTTAATAATTTAAATTTGATATGAATTCACACTTCATTATCAACCTAAATTTTAAAGTTCTAAGATATGTATTGTGGGGTCAATGAATCAAGGATGACAGCTTTAATGACAATTTTAAATAATTTTAATTCCAAAGTCACCACTTCCAACCCTCATTCTATTTCAAAGTAACTTGTGGTATCTAGCACATTTGTAAGATAAAGCTACCCATCACTCTGAGGTTACAACTTGAAACTCCTATCATGAGCCATTGCTAATTTTCCTGTCCGGCATTCCTCAGAGGGCTTCTGTTGGCCTTACAACCAACCCAGACATGCATAAACTAAACCGAGGGCAGAAGCAGGTTAGTGGCTTCAAGAATGGTCACATGGACTCATCACAAATTCACTTGAGATTGTTATCTATGACCTTACTAGGTATTCAAAGATCATATTCTCTCCACAACCTGAGAAATCAGCTCAAAGTCATTTACACAGATTTTAAACATTAGTGTACAGACACAGGGCTGAAAATCTGTTACTCAGTTCTTGCTACATTTTTTGAGCTGCTTTTTTTTTTTTTTCTTATATGGTGCTGATTGCTAAAGATTTAGAAGTACAATTGGGTAGAAGTGTATCTTATTAAAAAGTTGGCCCCCAAATGGGAAGAGCTAGTTTTTTAATTGTGCCTTTTAATTTACTGGGAGAGAAAAATGAAGGTACTGTTTTGAGAAAAAGTAAGGCTTTTAAGAAGACAATGCTCTTTTGTACCTAAATGGTTTAACCCAGGGCTTACTTCATGTAAACTGGAATATTTACATGAATTTATGACCCTCAGTGGCTATTACAGAAATAACATCCTTAAAGCAAACACATCCATCCCTCTACATTATTAGAAAATTCTAGTCTTATTAGATAAATAATTATGTCTTTCGTTGTGCCAGTTTGGATAAAGGGAAGGACTGCAGACTCTGAACCCTTATATAAAGGAGTTCACAGCTAGCTCCTGAAGAGGGAAATAAATCTGGAAAATCAGGCTAGGAAAGTGAGAAAACAAAGTGATCCCAGCTTTTGCAATATTGAAGTGAGATATAACTTGCCATACTGTGCTGAGATATCAGAAAGATCTAGGGAAGAATGAGTTCTTTAAGATTTGCACATAGGATATTACTGGAATTTCTCACCAATTACTCAGGAGACTCCAGTAAATACTTAAGCTGATTTTCAACATACCCTCCCTGCCTTTTTTTTTTTTTTAAATAATAATAGAGGAGTATTTCTTTTGAATGTGATACCACATTGCATGCTATGGGTTCACCTAGGAATTATTGTACTACGTTTACATAATATTCTTTTTTCAAATGTATACTAAAACGTATAAACATCACTTATGAATTAAACATTAGAAATTAAATACCTACCCTGTACTACCTTTGCCATTCCCCATAAACCCTGCTTCTACACAGAACCCAAAGCACAGGAGACCCAGTTAGTCTTGCAGCCTTTGTTTTTTTTTTTTTTTTGCTTTTCCATGACCAATCTAAAGCTAATGAAAAACTACTGTGCACCCATCCAGGCATCATATTCCTGCTCCTAGAGCTCCTGAGATCCATTCCCAAGCGCACCCTTCTTACCATATGGAAATGGTCCCTGCTTAAGTCACTTAGTCCAAGGATTACTCCTAGTCCTACTCTCTCTACTTTCTTTTCCTGCATCCCTTCTAAGCACTTCCTGCCTTGGTGTCATTTTCTTTGGAAAATCAAAATTACTTTGGGTCAAGACCAGATGGAGATCTCCATGGTGTGTTAGACAGTACAGCTATAGCACAGCAAATCTCACCGTCAGTTTTATGGATCTGTGTTTGAGGGATCTCTAGGAAATAACTTCCCTTCCCAATAATTGACAGTGTCATTATTGACAATGTTGGAGAAGAAGCCACCAATTTACAAATACATGGAGTAAAATAGCTTACTTTGTAATACAAAAAAAAAGAAGAAAGAAAGAAAGAAAGAAAGAAAGAAAGAAAGAAAGAAAGAAAGAAAGGAAGAAAGGAAGAAAGGAAGAAAAGAAATATTGGGACATCAAAACTATTATGCAAATATCAAGTTAGCAATAATAGATCATGTGTCTGAAAATGTGATAATTAAACGTGGAATGGAGATGAACTAAAGTGAAGCTCAACAAAAGATATTAACTTGGGGAGTGGTGTTGAGCAAGATGGGTAGAGAGTTCAGAGGAAAATCAACATTTAAAACTTACTAGACTATGGAATATATTTTGTTCCAGGAAGTTGAAGAAAATTCTAGTAATCTATGAGATGTTTAAGAGAAAGGTCACTTTGTTACTATCTTGTGCCACATGTAGTATGCCGTGGAAGTAATATTCACAGATAAAGTGCTTTTACTTTGACCCGAGGAAATTACTTAATGATCCAGATATTTTCCCAACTCAGACTTTCTCCTTGGAGACAAATTTGGACATTATGAATGTGGTCTTAATTCTTTAAGATCACTACAGTAACAATGACTTACAGTAACGTGCCTTCTTTAATACCCGTGGTTAATGCATGGGCATGGCTTCTGTTTCAGTAACTTCTCCTAGGGAGCTGACAGGTGTAACATCTTTAAACCCTTATTCGTACTTGTATTATCTTCTTCTGGCTGAGCTGAGTCAGTTTGAAGCAGCTGATTGGGTTACTCATCAACAGGTCTCTATGACACATTTTATAAATGCTGGGAATCATAATTTCTGTAATAAGACCTACCATTTCCTGAGCAATAGTTAGGGGCCAGGTAATCCAACTCAAGATTTTTATTATTATTATTATTATTATTATTTTTATTTTTTTATTATTTAACCACTACAATAATTTTATGCAGTGTTGTTTACTATCTGATCTTCATTTTTATATGAAAACTGAACTCTAATTTCAGAATGTAGGTATAACTTCCATCCTCTTTAGAACAAAGTTAATTGCAACCAGTTATACTCTTTAGTAGCTTCTAATATGTCTTTGGTTCTTAAATTTAGCTTTCAATGTTAGATGAGCTGGTTAAGATCTTAAAATGCATATTACATTTTATTATAAACCTGAGGGTGGGGGACCTTGTTTAAAACAAAATCTGAGGACTAGGTATCTTATTCACTGACTTAGAAAAAAAAAATAAATAGTGTAAGTATAAATAAAAGAAGATACACCCGAAGAGAATTACAGTGCTACCTTATTAAAAAATTAACATGTACCTTCCCCCCCTTTTTTTTAATGAACTCTGTTTTTTACATGAAATTTGGGGAAACATGCTAAGATATAATTTTTGGTGAGTTTTTTTGAAGGTTTTTAAACAGAGAATATTTTCTATGTGGCCATACTTAAATAGTTCAACTCTATGAAGGAAATAGTGAAAACGATGCCTATACCTAACATTAATTTATTACACCATTATTACATTTTAAAAACTTACATAAATTTCCAAACTTCCTTGCTTTCACGGAAGTGCCATAGGGAGACAGATGAAGAAATTGCAAAGCAGATACATTATCTTACCATATGAGCCACTCATGGCCACAGAGAACAGCTTAAATGGTACAGTAGGAAGAGTCTCATTGGTCTCTGTCTGGGCCCAATAAGCAGAAATTTTGCCAGGAAGCTGGAGACAGAATGTTAGCTCTTTTCTGCAAATAAAGGCATTCTCTACATATAACTGAAATGTGATTATTAAAATCAGGAAATTAACATTAATGCATTACTGGAATCTAACCTTTAGGCCCCATTCATGTTTTATCAGTTATTTCAATAATATTTCATATAACACAATTTTCCAGGTCAAAATCACATGGTGCATTCAAATGCCGTATCTCTTTAGTTTTCTTCAATCTGGAGCAATTCCTTCCTTTTTCTTGATTTTGTGGCAGGTTTGAGGATTCTTGGCCAATGATTATTTAGAATGTCCCTCATGCTGGGTTTGCCTAATGTTCCTAACTCCAGCATAGGCTTTTTTTTTTTTTTTTTTTTTTTTTTTAGGTACATCACAGATATGATGCTGTAATCTTGTTGTATCCTTGTTGTATCTTATCAGGTAGAACAGGGGCTTGATTTGTCCCATTACTAATAGTGTTAATTTTTATTACTTGACCAATGTTGTGCATTAGTTATCTGTTACTGCATGATATATTAGCCAAAGCCTAGCAGCATAACACAACAAACATTTATTATCCTACAGGATCATGGATGCCCAGGAGTGGCTTAGGTGGGTACCTTTGGCTCAAGGTCTCCCAAGAGGTTATATCCATAGCTGGGGTGATGGTCTGATCTAAAGTCTTAGTTGGGAAGAGGTAGGAGTTTGCTTCCCAGTTTACTCCTGTGGTGATTTGTAGACTCTGGTTTCTTGCTACATAGACCTTTCAACAGGGCTACCTTGCAGCCTGGCAG